ATGTGGTACTGAGGAATCGAACCCAGGGCTTCATGTACGCTAGGCAAGCACTCTTCCACTAAGCCACATTCCCAGCCCTATCCAGAGTTTAGAAAAGGAAAAAAAAATCCAGCCCAGATCCATCACAAATATCAACAGGACCACTCCACCAGGACGCCTTCATGATGATACCATGGTAAGACTGAAATGTTCTTCTGAATAATGTTCTGTTCTCTCAACTTTGCTCCTTCCCTCAGACATACCTAAAACCACAATAACTAATAAATGGTGTATATCTATATACATATATATATACATATATATGTATACATATACATATATATACATATATATGTATATATATATATATATATACATATACATATAAAATCACCCCCAAAAAAGTTTCTTCATCCCCTGGTATAGGAAAAATATTACTGTGGCTCAAAAATACACTGAAAATTTATTGAAAATGTTACTCTCAACTAATAACTAAAAACAAGCAGCACATTACAAACTAGAGATAATATTTGCAACAAATATTGAAGACAACTCATAAAAATTGAAAGGGAAAATGAACAATCCAAGAGAAATATACAATAGATGTAGATAATTAAGAAACATAGACACAAGCACACAACAACAAAAAATGCTAGCTTATCAACAGCATTTTATTTCTCATAGCTTTGGAGGCTGAAGTCTAATACCATGGTGTCAGCTGACTTTCTGGGAGAGACTTTTCTTAATTGCTTGTAGGAGATTGCCTCCTACTTAAGGTCTTCTCCCACTCCTACCTTATTAGATCTAGAGCTGTGGTAGGAGATAGGATTAATCCTGTTTCTCTTCCTCTTTCAAAATGCCATCAGTAATAGGAAATGTGAATGTCACAAAAAATATCAATCATCTACTTTAATGATAAAATTAAGATGAAAGAATAAAAGTAATCTTTGGTACATTAAACAATCACTAGTTTTGTTTTTTTAATGGAGAAAGACGTTACTTTAAGATTGAATGTATAAGCTTTTTCCATACCCAATCTTTATAAGAAATATTTAGATTATTGCTATAATTTTATAGAAAAAAAACAGGCCTTAATTGTTTTAAATGTTTAGAACAAATAGCTACATTTTTTCCTGCTTTGGCAGAGAAAGTACAATGAGGCTATTTGTTTGGGTTTATATTTATTATCTAAATTTTGTTTATAAGGAATCTAAGCTGATCACTCAGATTCCAACTTGCTTTGGTCAACAGGACACCCAGTTAGAAACCAGTGCTTTGTATTTCATTGTATGATTAATTGTATGCTAAGAGGCATTATCTTGTGGCATGGTTGAAATCAGAACAGCTTAAAGTTTAGGCTCCAAAGAATAATTTCCTTTTTATTCAAATAGACAAACTATAGGAGATAAAGAAGTTTTGGTCCATTTTAAAATAATACTTCTATTCTTAATTTTTTTTAATTACATATACCAACACATTTTCAATGTGGAGCTGGTTATTTTTAGTACTTTTTTTGGGGGGGGGTCAGTCGTGGGACTTGAACTCTGGGCTTGGGCTCTGTCCCTGTGTTCTTCAGCTCAAGGCCAGTGCTCTACCGCTTGAGCCACAGCACCACGTCCGGTTCTCTAGTAGTTTATTGGAAATAAAGAAAGACCTAAGGGGGGCGGGGGGAGGAGAGACTGAGTCCTGGAATTTGACAGGTACTCCTTGGAAATAAGAGTCTCATGGACCTTCCTGCCCAGGCTGGCTTTGAACCACGATCTTCACATCTCAGCCTCTTGAGTAGCTAGGATTACAGGCATGAGCCACCAGCGCCTGGCTCTGGTTATTTTTAAGAAAGCAGAAAATGTTTTAAACGAAATGATATATAATAGTCCGACACTCACATTTGAAAGCTTATAAGCCACATACATTTACAAACTCATCTATGCTCATAAATCTGGTCCTTTTCCTCTGTATCCACCCTCTGAGGAAGAGGTGACCTTCAGCCCCTGGTGTAGCCCACATGGTAGAGCTCAAAACAGATGACTGGATTTAGGAGTCACCAGTGAACAGTAATGGAAATCATAGGCATTCATTATGTTATACAAGTAGAGAATGTAGAAGTACAAAGAGCTAGAGGGAGCATCCTGCCAAACATCAATGTATAGTGTTCATCAAGAAAGATGAAAAAGATAGCAGAGAGAATGTGAGAGAGAGAAGACATGGCTTTCATGGAGGGAAGAGAGTTCATTTCAAAGAGGTAACAGACAAAAAAGAAAGACTTAAGGGTGTGTGTGTTGGGGGGGGGGGGACCGAGTCCTGGAATTTGACAGGCACTCCTTGTGTAGTAGAAAGGATGGAGATGATTATGAAAACTAACAGTAGTTACATGGAATCCAGGCTGGAGGGAGGGTTTGTACTCTACTTTAAGCTGAGGAGGAATAGGTAGAGGAGAGTGAATATCATAAGAAAGATAGTAGTGGTGTGACATTCTGTGAAGCCAGAATTGGAACATAGACTACATGGAAGACCCTACTTCTTCCTAAGAGTCAAGAAGAAAAGACAATGGGCTAGATCATAGGCATAGATTATTAAAAATATAGGAAAACAGATAGGAACAAAATCAATTAATACAAGATCATGTCACAATAAAAGCTTACAGTTTTAACAAGGAACAGTATATAAAGGCCTTATCACCTGTGTGTATGTGTGATGTGTGTGTGTGATTTTTGAGGCAAGAGCCTGCTATATGGCCTGGGCTAACCTGGAACTCACTATGTAGCTCAGGCTAGCTTGAGATTCACAGCCCTCCTGCCTCAGCCTCCACAGTACTGAATTTACAGGTGTGCCCTACCCCATTTGGCTCTGTCTAGAATTTTAATCCAGGGCTCTGCCTCTATCTATTATACAAAGAGGCAAATGGCAGAAAGCAAGCTGAGATCCAGTTAAATTCAGCTACTTTTTAGGTTCATGATTGGATATGATAGGAAGGTACATTTTGACTGCTTTTTACAATTTGCAAAGCACTTGTACTGCTCTCCCTGCACTAAAACAGCAATTAATATCTTTTGATATTCTAATCCAATAATATCAAATATATCTCCAACATCTGACTTCTCTGTCTCCCTTTTCTATTTATTTTAGTTCTAAGGTTATAGCCATAAAACAAACCAGTTGGGAAGAAAGCAATATTAATGTATTGGTACAAAATGGTCTGTTGATCAGAAACATCATAAAAATATATTGGATGTCAGTATCAATCATTATTTTATAAATGAATAAACAGAATCCCAGAGGGATTAAGTGATTTGGTAGAAATTATATAACCATTAGGTGGTAAAGATATGACAAGGTTCATTTAAAGAAGCATAGATATTGAGCATGTAACGTGCTAGGCTAGGTAAACAAGATACAGTGCTACTTAACTCATAGGCAGCCATAAATTATATTCTAAACCACTATTATTGAAGTTTTTATTGTAATTTTGGCAGTTGGCCAATGAATAAACATTTTCCCAAAGAATCATGCAACTCAATCTACTTGAAGACTGATCTAGAAACATATTATTAGACTAAAAGGCTTTAAATCAAAAGCACCATTTGCATCACTTACCTATTTTCTTTAAAAAGATGAAGTCATGATTCCCAAATGAATGAAACATTGCTAAGAATATGAAGTTGGCATGATCAGTTAAAACATAAATTTACAAGCTATTTTTATTTTTCAATCTAATGGAATACAGAAGGGAAAGATTCTATATTTTCTGAAAATTTTCATATTCTATTTTTATATATTTTTTATTGTAAAGATACTGCACAGAGGGGTTAGTTACATGCAGATACATGAGTAAGGTAATGAGTACATTTCTTATGGAGCATTGTCACCCCCTCCTTTGTTTTTCCCCTACCTTTCCCCTACCTTGCCCGTCCCTTCCCATCTCCCCTCTCCCAGCCCCCCACCAAGTTGTAAAGTTCTTTTCTACATAGGGGTCTTGTACATCTCATTGTTACAATGTGTCAACCTGTACCCTTATTTCAGCTTTTTGTTATTTCCCTTCCCCTCCCCAAATTAGAAAAATGTATATACAAGATGCAGGGCACCAACATCAAATACAGTGAAAACAGGGGTTATACCATGGGGGAAGAACATACAAAGAAACAAAAAAATCGCATGGTACATTATAAGTACATTAAAACATTCCAATTTTTTGTTGGTTAATTTGTCTTTTAGATACGATCTCACTTTATAGCCCTAGATGGTCTGTAACTTGCTAGGTAGCCCATACTGGTCACTAATTTACAATCCTCCTGCTTCAGCCTCCTAGTGTTGGGATTACAGATGGAAACCACCACATCTGACCTTTTATACATTATGAAAGTTATCTGTGAAAAGAACCAAAATTGCCTTGAAAAATAAAGCGGATAGTACATGCATAAACACAGTTGTAACAGCAATTAACACCATTCTTGGACACTGAAGTAAAACAGATTGAAATACTGAGTTCGAGTTATGAATGAAATGTCAACGCTGCTTTCTCTCATAAAGTTAAAAAGGAAACAGGAAAGACTTTTAAGTGAAAACTAGCCAAGCACTGGTGGTTTACACCTGTAATCCTGGCATCTCAGAAGGCCCCAAACTGAGGCTTTAAGTTCAAAGCTTCAAAGCTCAGGCCTGAAAGACAAATCTGAGAGACTCTTGAGAACCAGCAAAAAGCTTGAAGTAGAGATATGGCTCAAGTGGCAGAGCACCAGCGTCGAGCAAAAAAAAAAAAACAAAAACCAAGGGAGCATGAAGCCCTGAGTTCAAGCCGTAGTACTCGCATGGAAGAAAGAAAGGAAGAAAGGAAGAGAGAAAGAGAGAAAGAAAGAAGAGAAAGACGAGAGATAAAGAGAAAGAAGAGAGAGAGGAAAGGAAGGAAGGAAGGAAGGAAGGAAGGAAGGAAGTAAGGGAGGGAGGGAGGGAGGGAGGGAGGGAGGAAACTAAAGGCCTTCATCATTGTGAAGGCAAGGATGCAAGATGGGAGGTAGCAGGTGACTTACAGGAATGTAAACAACAGAGGTGACACGGCTCTCAAGCCTCTTAGACATCAGATTAACGAAGGTAATTTCGTTAGAGGCCCATTCCTCTCCCACCAGCGCGTGGAGGGGGCTCCTGGCTCCCCGCCCCACAGAGCTGTCCCGGGAGCCCCCAGCGCTCAGCAGCGCTCCAGCGAGGTCCCGCCCGTTCCGCCTGCCACTTCCGGGTAACCATGCTCCTTTGCGCGGCCCTCACGGAACCCGATTGGCTGCCATGACAACCGCCAACGGCTGCAGAGTTTAAACCCGAAGCCCGGGCCGCGGCGGCTGCGCGCGCCACTCCCGACGGCGGGCGGCGGTGCCCTTCGCTCACAGAGCCGTAAGTCCGTCCCGGTCAAGCAGAGTCGGTGTTTTTCTGAGCCGGAGCTCGCGGCCCCGTCGGCCTCGGCCCCAGGCCCGCCCTGGGCCCCGCCGGGGCTCGGGGCCGGGGCCTCCTGGTGGTGTCTCCCCCGACTGCGGCCTTTGGGGGCGCGGCTGGGCGAGGGGCTCAGGTAGGCGGTCGGCTCCCGGAGGGCGCGGGACGCCGCTGAGCGCCCCTTCGGCGCGGATTTCTCCCTGGTGGTGAGCCTGCGGGCGTTCCGGGCTGCGGGCCCGGCCCGTGGGGCGGAGCGTCCGCCGTGGGAGCGCTCGTTGGGGAGCGGGGCCGACGGGGGGATCCGGGGTCCGACTCGGGAGAACCCGACGTGGCCCAGAGATGGACCAGAACGCCGCAGCCTAGTCAGTGCGGGATGGTTCCTGCAGGGCTGCGTGCCCGCGCCTCTCTGCGGCCCGGGGCCGAGGGTCAGTTACCCCAAGGGGCTGAGATGATGTCTTTATCTTACGTAGTTTTCTAAGTCTGGAAGTTGAGACGTTATATAGATCGGTTTTTAGAGCCGGGGCTACACAATGCACGGTACTGTCACGATGGTTCAACTCGCCCCTACACCAGATCGTGCCCCTGGGTGAATGCGTTGATGTGGTAGGTGACAGGGCAGGGCTAAGGAAAACGCCTTGGTTGCTAGCTCGAGCAACGGTGGATAGGGTCGTTGCTTAAGTTAGGAAAACTGTTAAGAAGCAACTTATTGGCGAGTTGGCAGTTTAACCTTGCTTCCCAAACTAAGATGAATTTGATTTTGCTTGACTGAAGGCTTTGAGGATAGGAGATGGCCTGAATTTTTATGTTACATTTCCTTTCAAGTGTAGAAGATGCAATAATTTGTATGGAGTTTTCTGCGTGCTCTTTTGCTTTCTATCGGATAGAGAGCGGCTTTGATTTTTAACTTTTTAAGGCAAATCTTAGAAGTATTTAGCCTTAATGTTGTAAGGTCTATAGTTCAGGTTTTGTCCTCACTGCAGAGATTCCTTCTAAAACCATTTTTCCCCATTATTTGTTAACATCTCCATTCCCTTAACATCTGCTCAGTATTTTCTAAGGTGACTCATTCCATTATTTGGCAAGTTTTACAATTGGAAGGACCTTACATTCATCCACAGTTACTTTTTCCACACTCATTTACCCAGGCATAGCCCAGGCTATGTGCCAGGCACTGTTCTAGACACTTAGAGGCCAGTGGCAAACAACCTTGACCAAAGTCTGTGGAAAGAGAAAACAAACAATAAGAAAATTAATTAATGGATTTTTGGTGGTGTTATTAGACATTGATCAATGGAGAAAATAAAACAGTAAGAATTGTGGCAAGTAATTTTAAGATGTTTGAGTTGCATAAGCTTACTAAGAAAGTGGCATTTAATCAAAAACTTAGGAAATGAACAAGCCTTATGGTTATTTGAAGGAAGAGTTAAAGGATAAAAAGTATGTAAATGGGGGCTGGGAAGGTCGATCTGTGATAAGAGTACTTGCCTTGCATCTTGCATGCTTGAGGCCCTGGGTGCTGTGGCTCAAGTGGTAGAGCGCTAGCCTTGAGCTGAAGAGCTGAGGGACAGTGCCCAGGCCCAGAGTTCAAGCCCCCCATAACTGACAAAATAAAAAAAATTATGTAAAGGTTCTATATGTCAAAAGTGGCCAATATGGGGCTGGGAATGTGGCTTAGTGAGAGTGCTTGCCTAGCATGCATGAAGCCCTCAGTTTAATTCCGCAGTACCACATTAACAGAAAAAGCCAGAAGCGGCGTTGTGGTTCAAATGGAAAAGTGCTAGCCTTGAGCAAAAGAAGCTCAGGGACAAAGAGTGCCCCGGGCCCTGATTTCAAACCTCAGAACTGGCCCCCCCAAAAGTGACCAATATGTTAGTGAAGAGGTCAGAAGAATGCCCTCATGGGAATTTTGGGAAAGGGACATGTATTATTGTATTGTCCAGGAATCAATAGACAGTAGGACCCAAAAATCACTGATGAGTTGTGAGTTAAACAAAATTTTATTTGAGCGAAAGCACAAAGTGCTGATGCGTCAGGACCATGCCCAATGCTAGGGCATGGCCTTGAGTGCCAGCTTGCATCAGCTTTTAAGCTGAGAAGTGGGGAGGACTTAAGCCTGCACAGTTGGGCTCTTTGAACATTTTGGCCAATGATCACTCCAGAAGTTTTTACAATTTCCGCCAAGGCCTTCCGCCTAGGGGACTGTTCACAAGAAGCTTGGGGAATAGAACAAAAGATGGGAGTGATCCTATTAGTTAGTAGCAGAAGCCTAGTTACTGCCCAGTTTTACAACCACAAAAACAAAGTTACAAAATCATCCATTATTGATAAGCAGAAGCTTCTAATTTCTTTTTTCTCTTTTTTTCCATATGTTTTTATTGTAAAAATACTACTGTATAGAGGGGTTGCAGTTACATGAGTAGGGTAATGAGTACATTTCCTATCAAGCATTGTTACCTCCTCCTTTCCCTTCCCTCCCCAACTCCCCGCCCCCAAATTGTAAAGTTCATTTTCAATATAGTTTCTTGTACATCTCATTGTTACAATGTGTCAACCTGTATCCTTATTTAAGCATTTTATTATATCCCTTCCCCTCCCCAAATTATAAAAATGTATATACATGATGCAGGACACTGGAAGAGGCTTCTAATTTCTACATGGCCTAAGTACCTAAATCAAATATTATATCTTTAATTTTCATAACACAACAGTATCAAGTTGTGTTTATAAGCCATCATAATGATTAAATGAGATGGAGCGTTTTAACATGGGAGTTACCTAAATTAATTTAAATTTAAAAGTATCATTTTGCTGGAGCTGGTGGCTCACACCTGTAATCCTAGCTACTCATGAGGCTGAGATCTGAGGATCGCGGTTCAAAGCCAGCCCGGGCAGGAAAGACCTTGAAACTCCTATCTCCAATAAACCGCCAGAAAACCGGAAGTGGCACTGTAGCTCAAGTGGTAGAGTGTTAACTGAGCTGAAGAGCTGAGGGATAGCGCCCAGGCCCAGAGTTCAAGCCCCACGACCAAAAATATAAAGTATCATTTTGATTGTTAGGTTGACAATCAATAGTAAGGTAGAATATAGTATTAGTGATATTATTTGGGTAACTGTAGTAATATTATATATGAGAGAGAATACTATCTTGGATCAGAGTGTTAGCAGTATACATACAGTAAGTCACATTTAGATGCACTATAAGAGTATAATTGATGAAAGAGTGGATGTGTTTGACAGAGAAAGACTTTTTTTTTTTGGTCAGTCCTGGGGCTTGAACTCTGGGCTTGGGCGCCATCCCTCAGCTCTGCAGCTCAAGGCAAGCGCTCCACTGCTTGAGCCACAGCGCCACTTCCAATTTTCTAGTGGTTTATTGGAGATAAGAGTCTCACAGACTTTCCTGCCCGGGCTGGCTTTGAACCATGATCCTCACATCTCAGCCTCCAGAGTAGCTAAGATTACAGGTGTGAGCCACCGGCGCCAGGCTGATAAAGACTTTTTAAATATAATATTTATTCTAAATAGAGAGTAATGACTACAAAAGACTTGCAGCTGAAAAATACCTGGCATATCCCAGGAAGATCTAGATGGTAGTGACCCATATGGTAAAAACCAGAATGAGCTAGAAGGAAAGGAGAAGTTCAAGTTAGAGTACCTGGGGAAAAAAGGAAGATATTAGAGAGACTTTCAGACAATTTAAAGAAATTTAGAGAGAAGTGGGAACTATTGGAGAGTTTTACATTGTCTGATCTACTATAGGAAAACTAGGCTTGCAGAAATTCAGGTGAGATGATATTTCTAGGTTGGTTGCAGTAAACATACTAAAAAGTGGTCAGATTCTAAATATACTGTGCAGATGAATTGCAATGTGACAGTTTCACAGTTTTGGCATGAACAACTAAGGATGGAGTTACCTACCATTAACTCTTGAAAATAGGGGTAGGCTCTTGGTGAAAAACATTTGGATGGATTAAGTTTGATACGCTTATTTGATGCCAGTAGAATGTGGGATAGTCAATTGACTATTCAAATCTAGCAAAGTTCACGAGACAAATACAAACTGAATAAGGAATTTTGGAGGTTTTGACATCTGGGTGGCATTAAACTTTGGGATTATGAGATACTGTAGACAAAGACAAACAGTTCAGAGGAGAGCCTATTATAGGTTGGAGGAACCTATAAAAACATTCTAGGAAAGCGACTCAGAAAGCCAAAGAAAGATAGTTTGTTTTATTATTTGTTGTTGTTATTGGTTGTGGGACCTGAATTCTGGGCCTGAGCACTGTTACTCAGCTCTTTAGCTCAAGGCTAGCCCTCTACCACTTGAGCCACAGTACCACTTCTGGCTTTTTTTGCTTATGTAGTACTGAGAATTGAACCCATGGCCTCATGCATGCAAGGCAGGCACACTACCACTGAGCCACCTTCCCAGCCCCAGAAAGATAGTTTTTAAGGAAGGATAAATAACCACATCAAATTATGTAGATCCTGCTAGATCTGTATAATTAGATCAAGACCAATAACCATACATTAGATTTAGCAATGTGGAGGTCATTTGAGACCTTAGCAAAGTCAGTTTGGTAAGGTAGTTAGAATAAACACCTTACTAAAATAGGTTTTTGAGAGAATTCTGCCTGAGTAGCTAATTCATAAGGTAAGATTTGCAGAGAATAGCAGTGGTAATTTGAAGATGAAGTAAAAAGAAGATAGGACTGTTTAAGATAAGGGAAATAGCTGTATGTTGATGAGAAAGACATAATGGAGGAGGAAAATTGGTGATAGAAAGGAATTGTTGGAGTAATTGCTTTGAGAATGCAGGAAGGCAGAGGATTCAGTGCACACACTCATATCTGCTTATCCATGGTAACAGCAGCAAGACCAATATGCAGAAACGGATGTCAGTACAGAGGTAGTTGTTTCAATATTCTCAGAATAATCTAAGGTATGAAATTACTAATAAAGTGACCCAGGGATGAGGGTAATTCATAAAGAACGGACTAGGAATTTTTAGGGGCGAGGGAAGATGAATGATCTGTAGAGACAAGACAGGTTGAAATTGAGAAGACTGAGTATTGGGAGTAAGTAGTGCAGTTAACAGTTTTTTTTCTAGATTTATACATACTGAGGCAAGGAGGCTTGGAGAGGGAATGGAGGCTTGGAAGGTTGGTTTTGTCCATGTACATGGCTAAACATCTGCCCTTATCAGTGAAACATTTTCTGATTTTTTTCATTACCCATACAGCCGCTTCTGTGCATTATGTATTAAAACCAGTATTCTTATCAAATTCTAATGTAATATGTTAAATGTATAATTTTCCTAATTCCACTATTAGACCTTAATATCTAATTGAACATAGAGCTATTAAACTAATGACAAGTTTAAAATTTTCTACCTTTTTATGCAGTCCTTCTCTCCTTTGAGTTTAGCATTGCTCTTATGTGCTTCTATTAGCACATCTCTAAGATTACTTATATTCCTATCTAATCAGTGTCTGTATGGACATGAACTATTCCATTCCTTTTTTGTTTGTTTTTGCCAGCCCTGGGGCTTGAACTCAGAGCCTGGGTTCTGACCCTGAGCTTCTTTTGCTCAAGGCTAGCGCTCTACCACTTGAGCCACAGCACCACTTCCAGCCTTTTCTTAGTAGTTTATTGGAATTAGGAATCTTACAGACTTTCCTGCTCAGGCTGGTTTAGAATCATGATCCTCAGATCGCAGCCTCCTGAGTAGCCACCATGCCTGGCATCCATTCCTTTCTCAAACTAGGAAAATCCTGGCTTTTCTGTTAGTACCCAGTCTAGAACATGCATATAGACTATGGGTTTGAATGAAGAATGTCATTTTTGGATTCTATTTTAAATTATTTTTTATTTCATTTGTGCTTTCAGATTTTATATAAAAAGTTCTGCAAATTGGTACAAATGAAGCATATCCTAAGTCACGATTGTCACTTATTTTTTGGTGGGGGGTGCAGGTCCCAGCGTTTGAATTTGCCCTTTGTGCTGTCCCTGAGCTTTTTTACTTTTTTTGAGCTTTTGTGCTCAAGGCTAACACTATACTACTTGAGCCATAGCTTCACTTCTAGCTTTTTCTTGGTTAATTGGAGATAAGAGTCTCACAGACTTTTCTGCCCAGGGTGGCTCTAAACCGTGATCCTCAGATCTCAGCTTCTTGAGTAGTTAGGTCTGCAGATGTGAACCATGAGTGTTTGGCTTACTGCCACTTTTTTAGAATGTATTTTTGTCAGTTAGCAATCAAACTCAACACCTTTTTTCATTTCCTTTTACTTCAGTCAGTGATGGAGTATCCAAGGATGGAAGCTAACTCAGTTACTTCAGTAATTAAGAGACGTGTAAGAGACAAAAGAACTTCAAAAATGAAGTTGAATGTTTCTCTTGCTTCAAAAATCAAAACAAAAATATTAAGTAAGTACCATTAGTTGTAATTTATATTCATGTATTTTACTCTTTCTGTTTTTTGAATGTATTTGTTACTTTATTTGATCAACTGTAGAAAATTACTAAAATGTCTATTTGGTTAGCTGATTGGATCTTTTGATCATTTGATCTTTTGTATATCCTTTAAATCCTACATATGGGTAATTTTGATAACTGAATTTTCAACAATGAGTCTGGGATAGCCCAAGGAAACTATTTTACCTATAACCTTTCTGGAAAAGAGAAAAAAGAAGAAGAATTGCTCTAGTATGCTGTGGCAATTAGATTCTCGGTAATCCAGAGGCTTGCAGAGGTATCTCACTAATGTGGGTGACTGTATATAGCCAGAAAGCTCATCAGGAAGACACTACTGTTTGAAATCGAATTTCATAATTTCTGGAGGTAAGATGCAATGAGTAAAAAAAAAAAGAAACCCAAAGCATAAAAAGATAAGGAAATTCCCCAAGATAACTTTTCATTACTTCTGCAATTTTTTTCAATGGTTGTATTCATCTTAGCTAGAGTAGGAAAGTGGGGGGTATATTCTTTTTTCATTTCCTGCTAATATAACTCCTTTGCTTTATGGAACAGCCAAGCCTCCCGGGAATCTTTAAATCATATTATTGCTCCTATTGTTCTCTAGGGCCATCTTTTAAACTAATCCCTCTCACACAGAAGCTGTTTTCTGCTGTCTTTGACAGGATCATTACACACCCTGTGTTGTGAGGATATATTCTGAGTTTGGGAAGTACAACAGAAAAATGTTACTACCCTTCATTTTTCTGGAAATCCTAAACTGTTTCTAGTCTGTCTATAATGGCTATGCCAGGAAAGGCTGTCTGAAACTTACCTGGATAAAGTACTTTTAGGAGCTTAAGTTTTATATACCTCATCTTTCTCTGAATACCTAAAAATCTCAATATATTTTATAAAATTTATTTTAGCTGAGTATATTTGCATAATATTAACAGTTTAACAGTTGAGAGGCTGAGGAATATGAAAGTTTATTAAAATAAAGTTTAATATTAACTTTTTTGTTGGTTGTGGGGCTTGAACTCTTGTTAATATTAACTCTTAAAAATCTTTTAACAGACAATTCATCTATTTTCAAAATCTCTCTAAAACACAACAATAGAGCATTAGCTCAAGCTCTTAGTAAAGAAAAAGAGACTTCTAGAAGAATTACAACTGAAAAGATGCTACTGCAAAAAGAAGTGGAGAAACTGAATTTTGAAAATACCTTTCTTCGCCTAAAGCTAAATAACTTGGTATAGAAGATTTATTGTTTTTGTGACTAAAATCCTTAAAGCTACATTATAGAAGATCTGAAAATGCTTTGCAAACCTCCAATTGTAAGGAATTAAGAAAGTCAATATGCTATTCAAATTTCTGATATAGGCCAAACACCTATGAGTAATAAAATAGACATCCTAAGTCTAATTCTAAATATGTACTATGTGTTCTACAAAGCAGTATGATACATTTGATTGTTTGATTGCCCATTGTAAGTGAAGTTTGGTGCATTATAACATTTTAAAAAGATAAGCATGGTTCTTACAGTGAATTTAAAGGAAAGGAGGTCACAGAGAGTTTGTATTCTCTTTTAATCTTTGCATTCATTGTCCACAAGCTAAATAGAGTGAAATTTGTAATCCTTGCTTTTTTTTTCAGCTATGATTATTTTTAGCTATGATTATTTACCTGCATTTATAGATCTAAGTCTAAAGCAGAAATCAAATAAATGTGGGCAAATGTTCTGCACTGCTTAAATATTAAATTTCTATGACTGACTACTGTTTAGTTGCCGCCATATATGTTGTTATAAGACAGAAAAATGGAACATAATATTTTTTATTACAAAATCCATTTAATTCTGCAAATAAGTACCTTAACCTGCAATTGAAAGTTATTAATCTGCAACAGTATGCTAAAAGGTACATGCTAATAGAATCATAATATTTTTAAAGCATTCAAAATCTGTACGGGCTACTCAGTATAATATAAAACTTTTTTACCTGAATATGATCTCAATAGAGTCTTTTAACATTGATATATTCATAAATGTATGATATCATATTATACTAAACCCTTAATCTAATTTGATTAAAAGAGGTCTTTATTTCACATATACAGAATAAGAAGCTTATAGAAATAGAATCACTCATGAACAATAACTTAATAACTGCAATTGAAATGAGCAGTCTTTCTGAGGTAAGTTTATGTGTGAGCAGTGTCATTCTTCAGCATTACTAAGGATAATTGAGATTAAATAACATCAAAGTTATGAATATCTATATTCCAAATTTTTTACAAAGAAATGATAATCATTAGTAATATCCAATTTAAGAAATAGAACATTACTAGTCTATGTAATTGGTACTGAAATTCTTACATAAAGTCAGAATTTTGTTAAAAGTAATAGGATTAGCTGGGCACCAGTGGCTCACATCTGTAATCCTAACTGCTCAGGAAGCTGAGATCTGGGGATCATGGTTCAAAGCCAACCAGGACAGGAAATGTCTATGAGACTCTTACCTCTAACTACTCTCAAAAAGCAAAATCCATTTAATTCTGCAACTAAGTACTTTAACCTGAAATTGAAAATGATTAATCTGCAACAGTATGCTAAAAGGTACATGCTAATAGAATCATAATATCTTAAATTCAAAATTTATATATTTGTATGGCTGTTTGTATGGACTATTCAGTATAATATAAAACCAGACTCAATTAGTAGGGCATTAGCTTTGAGCAGAAGCAGCTCAGGGACAGTGCCCAGGATTGGAGTTCAAGCTCCCAGACTAATACACACAAACACACACAATCATTTTCTTCAATTTTGAATTCAGTTTTATCATTGTAAACTTACTGGTTTTTATTTTTACAAAATAAGCCTTGCCCTTTTGTGGTTTACTTTTTGTTGCTTTTCTAACTTTGAGTCAATGCTTATATAGTTTTTTTTTGGGGGGGGGTCCAGTCATGGGGTCTGAACTCTGGGCCTGGGTACTGTCCCTCAGCTCTTCAGCTCAAGGCCAGTGCTCTACCACTTGAGCTACAGCGCCACTTCCAGCTTTTTTTCTTTTTGCATATGTGGTACTGAGGAATTGAACCCAGGGCCTCATGCATGCAAGGCAAGCACTCTACCACTGAGACACTTTCCCAGCCCGCTTATTTAGTTTTTATTCTTTTGTATGTGTGCATGTGCCTGTGCACTCACATGCATATTGATACAAAGACAAAAAGCCATACTGGTTTATTGGGGAAAAGAATCTCTTAGATTTATCTGCCTGGGCAAGCTCTGAGATCAGTGAGATATCAGTCTCCTGAGTACTTAGGATTATAAGCATGAGCTACCACAGCCCAGTTTTTTAAACTTCTTCTACTGATTTTTTTCTTTTAAAATTCTTCTTTTGATGTGATTTGGCATGAATTTCTTTCTTTCTTTCTTTTTTTTTTTTTTTTGGTCAGTTGTGGGGCTTGAACTCTGGGCTTGGGCACTATCCCTCAGCTCTTCAGCTCAAGGCAAGCGCTCTACCGCTTGAGCCACAGCGCCACTTGGCATGAATTTCTTTATGTTTATCCTTTTACTTGGTTTCTTAGATTTGTAGGCTGAACCTTTTGTCTTTCTATTATTTCTCTTTTTTTTTCTTAACTATTTTAGGAATTGATTGGTAAAGTAGTTTTATGATGGTGTTTTAGATGTCTTGTGTTACAAGATTCCAGATCTTAAATCTTCTATTTTAGCAGAGTATATACTGTCAATAAGGGGAAGCATTTTATATTGCCACCTAAGGGTCAAAGTTTAGGCTCCCTGTTCAGCTTCTGCCGACAACAGTTTGGTGGGAGACATCTTTATAGAAAGTATATAGTTTCATTTTCTAGCCTTTATTCAAAATTACTCAGAAAGAATGTTAGTGTCAAAATTTAGAAAGCATAAGGATGCAAAAGATACAATGAAATCACCTGGACTTCCACTTTTCAATATGAATAATATCCAGTAATTATATTAATATATGTATACAATATAGATGTCTGAGTGTATACACATATATTTATTCCTATGCATAGAAGAAAATCTGGAAAACTGATTAACAGAATATCATTAGTGATTATAATCAGATGTTTTGTTCAGGGATAAACTGTTTTAACAGCTTACCAAGATAATGTTTAAGGATAAACTTTATCACATTGTTCTCACTCATCTGTAAAATATAATGTAAAAATGGTTTTGTTACTGTTGATATCCTTGTGTAATTTGGTACTTCAATAACAAGTATAGCATAATAAGGTTAAAAACTTCTTCATTCCATTTTTTTTGTTCTTTTCAAAACTAGTTTCATCAAAGTTCTTTTTTACTGCCAGCTAGCCAGAAGAAACAGATGAGTAAACAATGCAAGTTGATGCGCCTTCCCTTTGCAAGGTAATCACATTTTACCTAGGCTGGTCTCAAACTTTGATCCTCAAGATCTTAACCTCCTGAGTGGCAAGGATTATAGGAGTGAGCCACCTCCCCCTGGCTAAGTTTTTTAATTTTTGTAAAAATATTATTGTCAAGGTGATATACAGAGAGGTTACAGTTGCATAAGTATGATAGTGAGCACATTTCTTGTCGAACTTGTTATCCCCTCCCTCATTTTTTCTCCCACTTGCTCTTTTCTGTCAACCCCCTCAAGTTATACAGATCATTTCCAACATATTGAGTATCGCTGTTGCATAGGTTCCCCTTTGTCCTTCCTTAATTCAGATTAATATACATATATATATAATACCCAGGGTACCAAAAACAAACACAGTGACAACCAGGGATAAACCATAGGGGGAAACACACACACACACACACACACACACATAGTACATTAAAAAAAACAACAAAGAAAAATCTCTTATGTTCATGTCTTGGAGATCATTTCCTTTAGCATCATATATGGTAATATGTATGTAACTATTGAGCTATTCTGCTCATATGCTAGGACTATCCTAGACATATATTAATTATTACAAATGAGGGAAAACATGGGACCTATGCTTCTTTGGATCTGGCTTATCCCACTTCTGGGCATTTACCCAAATGAACATAAACAAGACCATACTGAAGCTACCAGCACAACTATGTTTATGTAATCATTATTTACCATAGCTAAGATATGGAACAATCCCGATGCCCCTCAGTAGATGAATGTAAGAAAGTGTGGTATAGTATACATGCATACACATGCATACATGCATGCACACACACAATGGAATTCTGTGCTTTCATCAGAAAGAATGACCCCATTTGTAAGGAAATAGACAAATTTTTTTAAAGGACTTGTTCATTTCTTTTATCTAAATGGTTAAATTATTGACATGAAGTTTTTCATCAAGACATTAAGTTATCTCCTTTATATGTGTTATATATTCATGTTCTATAGTCTTTCTAAATTATTTTTGTAAAATACAAAATTTTACTCATTTTACTTTCACTCGCCTTTAGGGTCCCACTAACTTCAGATGATGATAATGATGACGATGACATTGATAATGGTAAAGAGAAAACGCAGCATGACAATATTGTACCAAAAACATCACCCAATATTTCATCTTCACTATCAACAAGACAATCAATATCAACTCATTGTAATTTGGAGATGTTATTTCTTAAAGAAGATAATCAGAACATGTATAATTTAGGTGATTCAGAACACATTTCTTCCACTGACAGTGCACTTCCAATAGGTGAGATTGCTTTAAAAAGTTAAGTATCAGTATCAATAAATAATTATATTCATCAGACATTTTTCTTGAGGGAAATGTAAATTGTTAATAAGCTACAGATTTGCTGATTTCTACCATTTAAAATGACTGTTGAAGGTTTTAATTTAAAAGTAAATACTCTAGCCAGGCACTGTGATCCTAGCTGCTCAGGAGGCTAAGATCTGAGGATTGTGGTTCAAAGCCAGCCCAAGCAGGGAAATTTGTGAGACTCTTATCTCCAAGAAATTACTCAGAAAAAAAGCTGGAAGTGGCACTGTGGCTCAAGTGGTAGAGGGCTAGCCTTGAGCAAAAAGAAGCTCAGGACAGAGCCCTGACCCCTGACCCTGATTTCAAGTCCCAGGACTGGTATAAACAAACAAATACTCTGAAAATTTTCTTTTCTTTCTTTATTTTTTTTTTTACCAGTCCTGGGGCTTGAATTCTGGGCCTGGGTGCTGTCCCTCAGCTCTTCAGCTCAAGGCTAGCACTCTACCACTTGAGCCACAGCACCACTTGTGGTTTTTTTTCTGCTTATGTGGTGCTGAGGAATCGAACCCAGGGCCTCGTGCATGCAAAGCAAGCACTCTACCATTGAGCCACCTTCCCAGCCCCAATGCTGAAAATTTTTAAGCCCACAGTGGCCTAATCTGTTATTTTGCAAGCAGTACCTAAGGAGATTTATTACCTTATTATTCAGAAAGTACCATACATTTACTTAATTTTGCCCTCTCCTTTTCCCATGAAAATTGGGGACCTAGGTGAGTATAGAGTATATAAAGAACATAATTATTTCTGGGGCTGGGGGTTTAGCCCAGCGGAAGGGCGCCCGCCTGGCGCGCGCAAGGCCGTGGGTTCGGTTCTCAGCCCTGGTTAAAAAAAAAGACACATAAAGCTAAAACATGTCTCATAGCTAGGTGCCAGTGGCTCATACCTGTAATCCTAGCTGTGCAAGAGGCTGATATCTGAGGATCAGGGTTTTAAAAAAAAAAAAAAAGAACATAATTATTTCTAAAGCAAAACTTGAGCCTGCATAATGATTAGTGAAAAAAATGGTAATATTTACATTTTATTTACATTGTATTCCTAAGTGATAATCCTATGGTATAGTTTATGTTGTTTACATTTGGCTTCAATTTTTCAAATTGTGCTATTAAACTTAGAGCTCAGAATCATTGTTCCTTATTACAGTTATACATAGTGTAATCACTTTTTCTAGAATTGTATCCTTATAAGGGCTACCGCTATTATTTGGGTTCATTAGTTGGTCTCCTTCAACTCTCATAATATGTATTAATGTCTTTACTGTTGTCTATGTTCCATTTTTCCATTGGAGCTGAAGCAGAGTAAATTCTCAGTAGTGTGTATTTTCCATAGATAGGTGTAAAATATGATTGAGTACTCTAATTATTTCTAACGTACTTTTTGTTAACATGATGTAAGGATCTAAACAGAACACATTATTAGAAATCCTCACTGTAAAACAGCTTGTTTCTAATTTGTTTCAAGCAACTTACTACTAATTTGATTACTTAGAACTGGATCTTTTCTTTGTTCATTTTATAGAAAGTCATTACCACTCAGACCAAACTTCTAAGAATTCCTTAGTGAATGAGATAAGAAGTGACTCATCTATCAGCCACAGAAGGGAGAATCCATCTCTTAACAATGTGACTGAAAGGAAGAAGCATCAGTCTTCTTGGGAGTCAAAAGATCCTATTATAGACATCTCCAGTGCTACAGAATTAGATCACCAGCAGATTTCAAATTCAGGAGCAAACTGGAATAATGAGATAGATGACTGTACTAATGAAAAAAATATTAAAATGCAAAGAAATATGTTATCTTCTGAGTCTGCCAGTGAATCTAACGTAAAGGACATGAATCAAGTTCAGAGTAATGATGACTTTCATTTGAAAAAAACAGTGCATGAAAATGCTGACATAGATTTACCAGCTAGTGAAGTAAGCAAAATTGTAGTTTCAAGAGGCAGTAAAAATAAAAGAATTAAAAAAACAAGTTGTAGAGTGGAAACTTTCAGGAAAGTAAGAATCCCAAGCTCTGAAGAAAAGAGAGAAAGATCAAAGAAAAAATGTAAAAGCAGTTCAGATGTGGATATTGAAGAAAAGATTGAAAATAGACCAGAAGGACAATCTATTCCGAATGGCAAAAACGATGCAGAAGATCCAAATCTTGTTTTTGACACTGAAAAGCCAATTGAGGTAAACATACTAAAGAAAATAACTCTACGGAATGATTTTGATCAAGGTGACAGACAAAATACACACTATAACACAATGAAGAAAAGAATTCATGAAACAGATGAACAAGAGGAAGCATATTCTTTCTCCCAGAGTTTAGACATAGTCCTGCAAGAGAATAAATTTGATATGGGTCAGAACTCCATAACTTATGATGAAAGTAAAGCTTCTAGACAGACATTTGTGATTCAGAGGTTGGAAAAAGATAACTTAGACACCACTCTTCAAAACCCAGATGGTGCAAGTGAATTTCAAATGGCTCATCTTTCCTTCAAAGATTATGGAACAGTATATGACTATGAAACTCAGAATACTCTTGGTTTCAAAAAGTATGTCACTGATACACAGCCTGCTAAGCAAAATGAGTCAGAAGTAAATACACTCAGGCAGAAAGTAAATCGGAGTACAGAAATAATCTCTGAAGTGAGCCAAGTATCTGACGAAGACAAAAGCAACAATTTTCCCCAAACCCAAGTGAATAAAGAGACTATATCTCAAAGCCCAAAAAATTCAAAACAGTTTCAAATACCTACTCTTTTCACAAGAGATAATGGGAATTTACATAGCGATGAGATACAGAATGTGTTTGGTTTGCAAAAGCAGATCACTGATGTGTACCCTATTCCACAAAACAAATCAAAAGTTAAGCAGCTTAGACAGAAAGTAAATCGGAAGACAAAAATAATTTCTGAAATGAATTATTTTGATAGTGAAAAAAGTCTATCTTGCTCAGAAAAGGATAATTCTCTCTTTATACAAAAGGATAACGAAATCATTCTTGGAAACCTAAAAGACTCTAGGGAGTTTCAAACTCCTGGTCTTTGTACCAGTGATTATGACACTCAAAGTATTTTGGAAATGAAAACACATGTTTATGATAAACAACCTGCTTATCAAAATGATTCAAAAATAGATAAGAAGTTTAGACAAAAGGCATATCGAAAGACAGAAGTAATTTCTGAAGTCAAACAGACATATGAGCCTGATAACAAAGGTGGACATGACCTAGAAAAAGATCACATAGTTTCTTTAACCCAGAAAGATACAGATACTATTTCAGAAAATCTAGAAATTGCAAATGAATTTCAAATAGTTGACCTTCCCACTCAAGAGAGTAGAAATTTTTGTGATCATGAGACACAGAGTATATTGGATTTGGAAAAACATGTTACTAATAAACAAGTTGCTCAGCAAGATGAATTAAAAGTAAATAAGAAAGTTAGACTGAAAGTAAATCGGAGAACAAAAATAATTTCTAGAATGGACCAAATATCTGAAGACATGGATGTTCATAACCAAAAAACTGATATTAATGATTATCTTAAAAACCAATCTAAGCAAAACCGAGAATGCCAAGACATTACTAATGAATCCTATATGAAAGTCAATAGTAATGAGAAGGAAAGTTGTGATCAAATTCCAAATCCTTACCAGGTACTTAAAAAACATGGAAAAAAGTCATCAGCCAAGGCAAAGAACAGTTTGGCAAGAGAAAAGAGCAAATCTATTTTGCTGTTAACAGATTCTTCACAGGCACCTGTGTCCTTAGAATCTGATTTAAAACATATCACTAAGGAAGCAGATTCTGAGCCTGGAAACCAGATTGAACTACTTAAGAATCAAAAGCAAAGCACTGTAACTCAGAATACAGAAAGAGATATTCCATTCATGGGAGTGGAGGAAGCAAAGTACTCAGTCAATAAAGTAAACAAAAGGACATCCAAATCAAAGAAAAGGAAGACTTTCCTAAAACCTCCAGATAGTCAGGAAGTGATGAAGATAATTCCTGACACTGACCACAGACAGCCAGTTCACTCTGCTCAGGCCAATAAGGAAAATTATTTGGAGAATGAGAAAATTGTCCAAATGAAGTCAGACTTTTGCACAAAGGAGTTAAAACCATCTTTATCTGAGAAATACTCATCTTATATACAGAATTCTTCCTTTAACAGTGCTCAAGATTGTTCAATACCCTTGAGTATTTCTTCTACAAATTTAATACAAGAAAACTGTGTTTTGGAGAGCTTACCCATCTTTCCAGTAGGTGATATGCATGAGAAGATAAAAGCAGTGAAATTTAAAGTTAACCAGAGAACAAAACATTCAGAAATAGGTAAGTCAATGCCTAAAGTAATCACATTTTTAAGTGCTTTCTTTTTTTAACCTAGTAAAGAATATCTTACTAAAATTGGCATTTTTGTGGAGTTGTAACAGTATATAGGTATGTAGTGTCTATAAAAGCAGCATGAAGAAATTAGAGTTGAAGCAATTAAAGTAATTTGGGACAATAACAGTATATTGAACATTTTTAACCTAAAAATCTTCAGCCTTTGCCAGTTACCTAATAATCCTGATAGTTTCTCTTGTCATGTGTTTGAAGGAAAGTGAATTTTTTTTTGGGGGGGGGGTCTGGTAGTGGGCCTGAACTCTTCAGCTCAAGGCTAGTGCTCTACCTCTTGAGCCCCAGCGCCACTTCCGGCTTTTTTCTTTCTGCTTATGTGGTGCTGAGGAATCAAACCCAGGGCCTCTGGCATGCAAGGCAAGTGCTCAGTGGAGCCACCTTCCCAGCCCCGGAAAGTGAATATTTTAAATGTAGTCATGAAAATGCTCTCATTTATTTTACCAAAAACAGTTGTAGATTTCTTAAGTCTGGCTCTGTCTATCCAGCAACATACATTTATTGTGATCAAAGCAGTTATAGGTGTTATTAGGGAGTGAAAAGTAAGCCTGGCCTCTATCCTCAGAACACATGTATGTGAAAGTACAAAGACAGGCGTGATAAATTTTAAAAAGTAGACCAATTATGCTAGATGATATAATGAAGGGAAATTTTGATTAGAGGAATCTGCAAATGTATCATTATATAGGCAGCATGTTAAACTATAAGATATTTACTAGACATTCCCATATCATTTTTTTCCCTATTAGAAACCTAGCGTTTAAGAATGTGTGTGTGTGTGTGGATTACTAGGATGTTGATGGATAAAGATATGCCAGAGAAAAGGTACTAGAAGTAAAAGAAGTCCAAAGATTTAGTCATACGGTCTGTTAGAGGACTGGTGAACCATTTTCCACCTCTCTGTCACTCCCAGGATTTCACAGACTGAGCAACCAGTCAGTAATGTATGTGTTGAGTGAATAAATATCCAGTAATTGGAGTGGTTCTGTGGAAAGAGTTGAAACATGAAGAATTTTTCACATTCAGTGTGTGTTTCAGAGCAGACTTCTTGGATGGTTTGTTTTAAATTTTAAGCCTCTTTTCCTTACAAAGTTAAATTACGTTTTAAAATTCATTCCTTATGATTTACAGACTACTAAATACTTCATATTTATTTTCATATCTCTGTCATATATACTTTACAAATGTTTGTGAAAAATTCATTTCAGGTAAAAATAAATTGCAGGACTTGACAAATACCTGTTTTATTTCAAATAACACTGCACAATTGGAAAATGAGTTTAAAGATCTATCTTCAGACTTGCCAAACAGAAAAAGAAGGTGTATATCTCTCAATTTAAAAGAGCCAGACCTCAGAAGGCAAGTATTTCAGTTATTTCACATGTTTTTATAAGCATTTCCTGAATTAGTATTTGAGTACTTCTAACTATTAGTAAAACCTAAATATTGTTGACATGTATTCTTAGCCAAGTAATGTGGCTCACATCTTATGATCCTAGCTACTCAGGCTGAGATTTGGGAATTTTGATTCAAAGCTAGCCTGAAAAGTCTGAGATTCTTATATCCAGTTAAACACACACACACACACACACACACAAAATCAGTGGAAGGAGGAAGGAGTGTGGCTCAAATGGTGGAATACCTGCCTTGAGCAGCAAAAGCTCAAGGCCCTGAATTTACACCCTAGTACCAGCAAAATAAATAAATAAACAAGCAAACAAACACACCAATAGAATTTTTTGTTGTTGTTGTTGTTCCTGGGACTTCAACTCGGGGCTTGGGCACCATCCCTTAGCTCTAGCTCAAGGCAAGCACTCTACTGCTTGAGCCACAGCGCCACTTCTGGTTTTCTAGTGGTTTATTGGAGATAAGAGTCTCACGGAGTTTTCTGCCCGGCTGGCTTTGAACCTCAGGGACAATGCCCAGGCCCTGAGTTCAAGGCAAAAAAAAAAAAAAAATGAGGGAGAGAGATGGTATTTATGGGAGTAATCAGAAAATGTTGATATACCTATATTTTATTTCCAATCTAAAACAAAGAAAAAAGTAGCAACTGGATTGCCATCATTCAGTATGTGTACTGAATGTGCATTGCAATATTTTGTTAAGTTTTCCAATTCTGCTTAACTCAAAGCAGGAGTACAGCATGGAGTAAAGACCACAATAGTATTCATGTAGCCTTTGCTACCTTTTAAGTTTGGGACCATGAGTACATTTCATACAAAAACATGTACATATATGTAAAATATAGAGAAGAAATACAATGCTACTTCTTGCAACATAGGGTACTAGGCAGATTGACTCTCTTAATAAGAAAGTAAAATTACTGGGTAAATTTTTTTTATTCATTTATTAGCTAGTAGAAAAGTAAGAAAAGCTCAGATTTGTGATTGAGTGATAGCATGAACCCAGAAAGGGTAAGTAGAGCTTGAAATTGGCTTTTGCCTGAAGGTAATTATCTAACTAGGTGAAGCAGAGCACTAGATTCACAGCCATATGAGTCTGGGTACATGATATAAATCCTAGAGTCCATCTGAAATGAAGAGTCTTAACAGTTGATTCTCTTTAGTAAAGTTGAGCTGCTCTCTTAGTAGTGCAGCAAGCTAAAAATAACTCTTCCCTAGCTTCTTCAGCCTGAAAAAATAACTCTACTTCTGAATTGAGAAGAAAAAAAGTATTCTGAGAATTCATAACCAATATTGAGCTCTTATGCAGATTATAACTGGAATTCCTAATAACTGGAAAGCACAAAACCTTCAAGCTGAGGATTTAGTTTAAGGAATCCATGAATTGTAGTGCACCTGTGTCTTTAAGGAGCCAATATAAATATTTTCTCTAGGAGTTTTCCTTCATCTCAGGGCTCAGCACATTTTTTTTTTTAATTGTAAAGGTGGTATACAAAGGGATTATAGTTACAGAAGTCATGTATTGAGTTCCTTTCTTTCTAAAACTCTTCCCCTTCTGCCCCCCCTTCCCATTTTCAACATAGTGTCAAGTGAGTATCACTTTGTCCCACCATTTCTGCCTCAACACATTTTCCACAGCTCAAATTCCAAGGTAAATGAACAGCTAACTTTGTGTGTGTGTGTGTGTGTGTGTGTGTGTGTGTGTGTGTGTGTGAAAATACGTACAGAGGAGTTACAATTATGTGGGCAAGGTAATGAGTACATTTCTTATCAAACATTGTCCTCCTCCTTCGTTTCCCCTTCCATCCCCCCCTTTCCATCCCCCCACCCCCAACAGCTAACTTAAGTAAAGAAAAACACACATGTACAAACCATGGAACAAGGTTCCAGTAGAAACAACTGATGGCAGAATCAGGTATAAAATATAAAATGAGTATATTTAGTGTTCTTAGAAAAGAGAAGTTTAAAAATGAGTAAAGATACTGAGTAGAAAAGCTAGTCACAGAAAAATACCCATAGAATGATTACATTGAGCTGAAGGTTTTATGTCAAGAAAACCAAATCATATAAATTTTCAGAGTTACTCACGGACAGTAAGCACTTTAAAGAAAAGCACTGACATGTGAGCAGGTCATGTGCAGGCAAAGCAGGTTTTAAGGAAACTGTCTTTTTACTAGTATGGGGAAAAGTTTTCCATAGCGGAAGCATTTGTTTGGGGTTCTTACTAATCTGCCTTGTTTTCTGTTCTTCAGGAAGATAAGAAGATGAGGAAAACCTATGGATTCTAGTTTTTCTGAGTTCTCAGAAGCATAGTGAAATCAGAACAGAAATACAGCTAGGATCAAGATCGACAGACACTTGAGAAAAAATGTGTTTCATTCTTTTTTGGCATTTCATGTATGTTTGTTTATCCTATATTATCCCTATATTTACATATATGTACATAACTACTTTTGTAGTATTTGAAATAATTTTGGTCACTACGTAATATTTTCTTCTTCGTTTAAGTTTATACATAACATTCTTGAACCAAACAGCTCTTACCCTTTTAATTGAATAAAATATATTAATAAATACCTACATATTGGTTATCTTGCATACCAAATTACCTTGTTTTGCATTCAGTGTATGTGAATATCTTTTTTTGAACCATTCAATATAAGTGAAACATCTAAGAGAATTTAAAATTATCTCCTGCCTTGACCAGCTTTATTTAATTTTTCTCTTTCACTCTTTGTTGTCATTGTTGTTAAGTTATATGCAAAAGGGTTATAGTTCCTTAAGTCAGGTTATCAGTACAGAGCACCCTTAGTCAATGTCACATCTTCCTTTTCTTTCCCCTATTTCCCCCTCTCAATGTCACTCTTCCCTTCACTTTCCCCATTTTCGGCCTCCCCTATCCTCAGGTTTCATAGTTCATTTTTCATATAATGTACATCGAATAGGATGAGAATATTAGCTTACCCTTACTCCCTGCTTTCCTGTCTGCCCCTCATTGCTCACACCCCAAAGCATGTTTCCACTTGCACTGTTTTGATAAAAAGTACTTCAGTTGTTCAGAGGAGTTATACCTTTGAATTCCCCTAAGAATACCCTCCTTTAGTTTGTGTGTAAATGCATTAAGCCCTGTATATGGTATACATAGTTATATTTTAGATCTAGTTTCCACAAAAGAAAGAAAACACGTACCATCTGTCTCTCTGAGCTTATTTCACTTAACATGATTTGTTCTAGGCAAATCCATCCATTTCCCTACAAATGACATTATTCTCTCTAATTGATGAGTAACTGGATGTGGCATATACATATGTGTGTGTGTGTGTGTGTGTGTATCAATCACATTTTTCTTGATCCACTCTTGTAAGGTATCTTGGCTTTTGCAGGATTTGGCTGTTATAAATTGTGCAGCAGTGAACATGGACGTTCAAGTGTCTTTACCATATTCTAAGAGGCCTACAAGTGGTGTGGCGGGCTCATCAGGTAGTTTTATTTTTAATTTTTTTGAGGAATCTCCAATCTGCCTTCCAGAGTGTGTGTACTTGTTTACATTCCCACCAGTATGTAACAGGGTTCCTTTTTCCCCACATCCCCTCCAGCGTTTGTTATTGTTCATATTTTTTTTTTTGCTGGCCATTTTTTATTTGTCCTTTTTCTTCAAACAGGATAACCAAAGATACAGACAGTATTCAGCAAAATAAAATAGATGGAACCAACTCTAAAACTGTGCTGTCCCATGCTACATTTAACCTAGTTTATCATGCTTGCCTTGGGGATGAGGAATAATAGATCATTCAGCAAAAACAACAAATGTCTACCGTGTACAACTAGGAAACTACATAATGATGTACCTAATGTTACAGGCTTTAAAAAATAAGCACAAGACTTCTAGGAGCATTTTATAATAAAGTAATTCCTAAATTTTCTTTGTAGATAGATCAAGCACCTCCAAAATACAAATCCCTGTACACAGTGAGTACTTAGTTAAATGAACTCATAGTAGTAGTGAAGTAGGATGAGCTGACTTGTAGGTTCAGCTAGGTAGGCAACAAACCAGAGTGCCACATGGACAAAGTGTAGTTGCAAGTAAAGGTTTTGAACGAGTTAATTGTTATAATTACAGAAAATAGATTGATTTGCTAAATAAATAAGATGTGATGCACTAGAAATCAGAACACTTGAGACGATGGCAGCGACGCTGCTGCACAGGGTGCCCCGTGGGCGCTGTGGAACTGGTTCTGCCACGTACTTGTTACCTTGAGGTAGATAACACGTGTGTACCAAACTCGGCATTCATTTTCAGTTGCTGCTGGTATCATGTGTTTTAAGAAATGTGTACAATATGAAAAACTTGAAAATACTAATGAATGAAAAATGTTTTTGGAAAAAGGCATCTTCATGCAAGTATGTACAGTCTCACTGTGTAAATTTCAAGGCGAGGTTTTTGTTTCCTGTAAATCAGCTCCTTGTAGTAGGAGAATGCGGTGTCCGAACACTCATCCCCCCCACCTCTCCCGCATTGCATTAGCTTGCTCTATTCTGTGTGTGCAAACAACATGCCAGTTACAATGAAAACTCTCATGTGGAGAGGGAAAAAAAGGACTGGGTTTTAAAAACCAAGAACTAATTCCTTACTAAGTGATACCTTCTGATTCAAGTAAAAAAAATGACAAACACTAGTAATAAAGACAAAACACATTTCATGAAAAACACGAAGGGAAATGTCTGCTGAGTATTTTAGTTCAGGTGTTTCAGAATGCTGCTGTGTGTCTTGTGAGAAATTTGAGGGAACGATTTCAGAGCAGAAGGTGTTTAGGTGGCCTGCACGGAAGTGGTGACCCCATGGGGCTGGGAAACGGGTCTGCCTATGGACTGGAGCTGCTTGTTAAAGAGGAATTCCCCACTGTGGCTGGCCCCGAGCCTGCCTTCTTCCTCTGTCTCAATTTCTAGCACTCCAGACTCTTCCTTCCTGCTAAAGAACTTGTCCAAGTAGGTGGTGGATGTGTTTTCCTTCTCCGCCTGTTCGTCCTTCCTGACCTTGCAGCAGAACTGACTGATGGGAAGCACTCCTCCCCACTGCCCACAAACTGGCTGTCCCAGGATGACTGGTACCAGGCCCCCAGCTGCGCCAGGTTTGCCATCCCCTTCTCCTGTTTCTCCTGGATCACTGACTTTGCTATCAGACTTTTCAATTCTAGCTGGGACACGGAGCTGTTCAGGTCATTTAACTTGTCAACAACATGAGCAGTGGGCTCATGCTGCGAGCTGAGCTGAATAGTTCCTGCAATGAAGTACTTGAAATCAAATCCATACTTGTTCTCCCTCTCCTTCTCAGCCCACTGCTGGGAGGCTTCCTCTAACACTATCTGGACCTTCACCAATCCTTTCCGCTCACATTTGGACTTGCCTCTCCTATCCAATTTGTCTTGCTTTGTTCTTTCCATTTGGAAAGGTCAATAATAAGCTTGGGCTCATAATAATGGTTAACCTCGCTCTCTCTCCACACTAAGTTGTCAAGGTACCAGGACGACCTCATTTTGTAGTTACAGGTATGGCTACACTCCAGGTCGCAGTACTTGTTCTCATGGTGGTCCAGGTATTGCCAGCAGGGCTCTGTGGAGTAATGGGTTTTGAAAGCAAGGTCCTTCAGATACTTCTCTGGGTCTCCAAGTATTTCTGAGGGTCCACTTGCACCTCTTCGTCATGACATCAGACAGAGCTCTTGGATCAAGCTGAACTTCTTCAATATCAAAATTGTTGTGTATAGGCCAATCATGCTCAGAAAACTGACAGTCATGGTACCTTTCCCAGTTATAAATGTGAATTTCATCCATAAGCAAAATATCCACTTCATCTTCGATGTGAAAAGGATGGCTGGAGATGGGCTCGCATGTGGGGAAGGAGGAAATACTCATGTAGGGATAAGAGAGCACTTCCTCCACAGTCAAGCCATCCACGGGGCTAAAGGCCAGAATCTGCTCCAGGAAACCCAGTGCTTCTCAGCTAATTCCGGGAAGCAGCTGAGTTAATTGTTGTGTGGCTCAGTCATGTCATTTCTAATGTAAACGGGAATTACGCTGAGAAGCTCCTGACTATCCTCCTCATGGACAACAGGAATAGATTCTAAAATCAGTTGCATCTGTCCAAGTTCATGTGCACCTGCAAAGAGGATTTTACCAGTCAGCATTTCAGCAAAGATGCAGCCTGCAGCCCACATGTCGATGGCTTTAATATAATTGTTAGGAGAAAGTAAAAGACGTGGAGATCTGTACCATTTAGTAACCAATCCTGCCGAAAGATGACCCTTATGGGAATAATGAGGATCCATGATCCGTGCAAGACCAAAGTCAGCACCAAGTCTTCCGTATTGATGAAAAGATTAGCTGGTTTGAGATCTCTGTGCAGTACGTTTGCAGAATGAATGTACTGCAGAATGAATGTACTTGAGCCTGCGCAGCAGCTGGTACATGAAAAGCCTGGCATGCTCCTCCAGGAGAGGGCCCTGCTCTAGCACATGAGCCAAGTCTGTGTGGGACCAAGAATTTCAAACATTTTCACAGTGTTGTCATGGTCAAGTCTTTGAATAATTTTGATTTCACAGAGGGCATGCTTGACACTCTGGGGGTCAGTAAGAACAATCTTCTTGATGGCTACCCTTTTGTCACAGTCATTGTCTGAAAAAACCAAGCCATTGCCTCCACAACCCAATGGTTTTAAGTCCAGATACCTAGAGCCCAGATCAAAACCATGAATGTTCGTGAGACTTTCAAATTTCTCTGTCATTTTGAAATCCTTACTATTGCCTTTTCCTTTCCGATTGTTGAACTTGTGTAAACAAGGAAGAAAACTGGCATCAAAAGGAGAGATCTTTCAAAAAGGGAGAAGAAAAATAACTATGCTTCCACAGCGAGATGCTTTCTGGATATTCATTACATATGCCAACCAGGCCCATTGAGTTCCTCTTAGATTTAAAACTCAAAAATCTCTATTCATATTGAGACTTAAAAAGATTGCAGTACTCATAGTTCAAGAAAGGGGCAGCAGCTCTGCAGACATTTAAAGAAACACTCAAGAACCTCAAATGGAATGAAATGACACACTATGCACTCAGATTTACTGTGCTAAACGATTTAACATTCAACAAAAATGTGAATAAATACACACATGACAGGCTTGTATGAACATTCTCCTCACAGTGCCGATACATTCAGTGTTGGACTGGTCCTGAGCAGCATTGTTCTAAGATACTGGTAAGCATTAGTTCTGTTTAGCTTCTTTTCTTCCTCTGCTGCTGTATTTCAACAGGAAGCCCTGTGGCTGGTGGCTGACAGAAGATGTCTTGTTAGTGATCAGGTGGCTGCAGCTCACCACAGTCACAGTCTAAGCTACCCTCCATCTTATTCTTGTACCATGGGACTCCTCTGACTCATCGAGGGGCTGTGGGGCCACAGACTGACCCCACGGTTGGCTCCAGTCTCCAGCTGTGCCGGCGGCATAGGTGTCTCCGAAGCTGTCTTATTGTTCATATTCTTGACAC